GTATACCACGGGTTCTCTCCTAGTTAGATTAATACGATAATCAAACAATTCAATCTATCTTGTGACCGTACTTGTTATAATGTCATGGTCCTCATGGACTTCTCACCAAAAAAACATATAATATCAAAAATAAATACATAAATTTATTTTTGAAATAACGGCCTTCTTGTTTTATTGTGGCCTCATTGCTTGTTTTTCCAACACATAGTCATGGCTCTGTTTCAAACGTATGGTGATTTCATTACTTTTGAAAGAAAGAAAACTTTAAATAGCCTTTGACCAATTAAGTGAATAAAGTATTCAAACAAGTAGAAGGATATACTTAAAGAGTAATAAAACTTAGATATGGCACTTGTATAATCGGACACAAATGAAAAAAAAAAAATGGCGGAACCACATGTATTAAAACAGGGTTATTCACTTCCAATAAATTTTTTAAAATTAATATAATTTATTAAAGTTTAATATCAGTATCTCAATTCATATAATCAGATATATCCTTATTTGTTTCCAATAAAAAAAAATTATGACTTCATCACTGGTGCGATCATGTCAGCACTAATGCAGCAAATATATATATATATATTTATGCTGCATAACTGCGACCTAGCATTAAATGGGTATTTATCAATCGGTCCAAAAATCCATTATGTTAGAGAACAAATGCAAAAGTTGCGGTTGCACTTGCACGTCAGTCCCTGAACATTATTTATACAACACTTGACACTCTGGACTTTAACTTGCAATAATTAATGCAACAAAATAAACATTATTGACGTGTGCATAGTGATCCAACCTGATTTCACAAAGGTTCTTCATATGGAACATGCAAATCAGCAAATCGATAATTCACTGATTCATGTAACCAAAAAAGGAAAAAAAAAAAGCATGCATACACGGAAACACACAATATCATTATAGAAATTAAACCAATTCAGACCTAATTATAAAGGGTTTTTGCTAATTTTTCAAAAAGTTATTGCAGTTCTTGCTAATTACTCGTACGCAAAGATTGATCGTTAGATTCATGTCAAAAGTCAAGAACAGTCTTGATCTTGCTTCACAAATATTATCTTCTCAAGTTCAGCTTCACAGCCATGTGTAAGTGGTCCTTGGTCGATTTAATTAGTATATGGAAGCTGTATCAATCTTCACTGATATAAATAAATGTGCAACCAATTCCATATCATGTGGCATTATATTTCTTAGTTTTGTTTATATAATTATATCATTTTCTATATTTCTATAGAATTCATTTCCAAAGTATCTACTGAATTGTTTAGTTATTTCAGAACACATTTAAAAAAGGACTATATACAATGAACATGATCCTATATAAAAGTTATAGAAAAGAAAAAGTTCAAAAAACCCATGACATTTCGAAAACATTGTTATACCTATAACTAAGTTTATACTTTTCAAACTTATGTTATATGTGTACCTAATCAACCTCTTATATACTCCACTATCGAGATTATCAAGAAAAAAGAAAAGAAAATAAGAAGATGTTTTGAGTTTTGAGGAGCCTTGAGAGATCATCCCACCAACAACACAAACAAGAAATTGGATTACGTGCATGTACATAGATCCATTCAAAAATACTTCAAAACTATTTTTATTTTAGTATTTTTAAAATCAATTTTTCGTTATAATTATTTTGTAAACGTATTAAATGTGGCCCCTAGATCTATAAACCGTTGTCTTTTTGGTTGGACACTTGGCTAATTTGCTTTGAATTTACGGTGGCCAGCGTTTAGGGCTTTAATAAATAGATTTCAGATAATAAATGATACTCCTCGAACCAATTTTGGCAGAGACTAATAGGATGTCCCACTGCAGATATTCAACACATATAAGGTACAAATCATCTCCCATAAGCAAATATATTTACTAATTTCAACTGTCTTTTTAATTAGTTTGAGAGTCTTCTATTTCTTTCAACGATATCTAACCCAAATTAGTCTGCAAGTACATTATAGGCTACAGCCGAAGAACAAACCTATTAAACGTTACCAATCTTGGAAAACATACCGTTAAAAACAAAACTGAAAATCTTGAGAAATACTTTATTTAGGCATATATATGGATAAGAAAAAAATACTTCAAACATTTTTCTCATGATTTATCTTATTAGTGACTAGTGATTAAAAATACCTTTACCAAAATTTATCCTAATATCTAAAAAAAAAATCGTCAACCAAAATAATACCTTTCTTGGATAAGTGAAAGCTATAAAGAGTTGTGAAGAGATCCTATAAAGAGTAAAAATTATAGCAACAAGATATTCAAATATGTTGTCAAAATTAATAGGAAATGCATTAATTGTAATTTCATCCAACGAATAATGCTAGTCCTTGTAAATTTCTAAGGATTTACTCTTTTTACTAGAAGTAGCTAAAAATGAAAAGATTGCAAACTTAGGTCAATGTTTTCTTTAATAGTCGGTAGAATCCGCATCAAAATCTACAATAGTCATTTATGGCAAAAACTACAACAGAATAATTTTAACTCTGACTCATATCAACAAAATGAAAATTCTGAACAGTTGAATTTGAACTAGGTAAACTTAAATTAACTATAAAATCAACTAGATTAACAAAAGACTGATGACCAGCTCTTTGTCAGTTAACCCAAGTCCCAAACAATGTCACGAAAAGCCCTAAAGTTTTATTTAATTGGCTAGGTTTCATGTCTCCTGATATTTGATACACTTAAAAATCATAAACCAAATATTTAAAATCAGAAGTTTTAGATTTGCTTTTCTCCATATAGAGAATGATAGATAAATCGGATTACGTCGAAGATTAAAAAGGTATCAAATATATATATATATATATATATGTATATACATAATATAATTCTGTGATAAATTAATTAGAAATATCGTCCATTTTAGTATGTCCACACAATTCACGAAAAATGATACTACTAGATTTTGTTTTCATAAAGTTAAATAACAATTTGCTTAGCTTAAAAAGCATTATTAGACTTTACTAGATTTATAATCCACGCGTTGCACGAAATTTATTTTTAAATAGTTAATTCATTATATTTATCTTCTTACTGTTCTTGATTTTATTAGACTCATTTTCTATCTTCATATTATCATAGTTTGTTATTTTTGTTTTTGGTCTTCTTTCTCATCTTCAACATTTATTCATCGTATTTTTTTTTAAATTCTTCTTTATCAGTTTTGTGTTCTTTTTTATCTTCTTTATTTTTCATTTTTTTCATCTTCCTCTTCATCTTCTTCGACTTCTATTTATTTGTTTTCTTTCTATTGTCAACAACCTAAATACTTAGAACGATTCAACTTCTTTTTTTTTCTTTCGATATTTTTTCATCTTTTTCTGATTTTGTTTCGTCTCTTATTTTTACTTAGCTCGTGTATGTATTATTCTTCTTTTATTTTGTCTTCATCTACACGTTTTTCTTTATATTTTGATTTTTTTCTTATTCCTCCTATTGTTCTTATTCTTTTTCATCGTCTATGATTTTCATTTTCATCTTCATCTTTTTCTGTAACTATGTATTTTTATTGTTTTCCCAATTTTTACTCTTCTTCTTCTTAATAAAAAGTAATAATTATAAACAATGTGTGAATTAATTAAGTCATTAAATTTAGTGTTTGTGTTTTTCTTTTATTATTAAATGAAAATAATGCTATTTAAAAATGTGTGAATTAATTAACTCATTAATTTTAGTTTTGTTTTTCTATGCTGATGTGGATACCCTAAAATCCTAAATGAAGAGAAAACTGTGTGAATTAATGAAGTCATTAAATTTAGGGGGGGTTATTGGGAGTTAGATTTATGAAAATTTTAGTTGATTTTAAAAATCATGAGATTTGTCAAATTTTTAAGAGTTTTGTTGGATTTGTAAAATTTAGAGAGAACCTATGGATTTAAATAATCTATTAAGAATGTTTTAATATGACAGATTTTGAGATCTAAGGGATATAGGTAGTATTTTGAGAATCATGATTTATGAATTAAATTATAAAGAATCATTATGCCAATAACACTAGATTATAACAGAATCATAGAATCATTAAAATGCAGACTTTTTGAATAACAATGGATTTTGATTAGATTATAAAAATCATCATATCAATAACAACTGATTTTTATAATCTCTAAATGAATAACAGAGGAATCTATTAAGAATGTAAAAATCCACAAACCAATAACTATAGAATCTTAAACTTTAAAAATCTTTATAAATCAACTCTCTAATAACACCCCATTAGTGTTAGTGTTTTTCTTTTATTATTAAATGAAAATAATATTATTTTAAAATATGTGAATTAATTAAGTTATTAAATTTAGTTTTGTTTTTTTATGTTGATGTGGACACCCTAGAGGCAGAGAAAACTCTCCCATTATATAATAGATTCCAGTTCTTTTTAAAAAAAAAAAAAATTCCAGTTCATTTTTGCATTTAACTTGTTATCTAAGTGATTTTTGTCCCACATTTCACGGCCGAAATTCTCCAAATCATAATCAAAATTACCACTAAGTACAAAACACAAAGCCAATGTCCCTATCACCCCGACATCAGCATCTAACATTTGACATAAATCAACAGCGTTAATAGTTGAATTCAAACGTTCGTAATACAGTAATTAAAAAAAATCCCATTCTAGTATATACTAAGGACTATCTCTTCATAAAAAATTGATTTAATCTCGACATACTACTAAGAAAATCCTGATTTTTTTCGATCTATATCATGATTCTGACAGATTCAAAATTTATATATAACTTAAAAGAATATTCAATAGCTGTGTGTTCGGGTTTGAGACAAAGACTAGTAGGTCACAAATATTAAAAGCACTAAGAACCATGAACTGAATCATTTGGAATCACCTTATCTTTAAACAAAAAGAGGCAATTAATTAAACGGTTTCACCACCTACTCGTAACAGAACAGGTTACACATAATCAAATCAATAGTCTCTATATATACACGAAAGGCTCATAAGGTATAAAACCTATCACCTATACAAATATATATTACTTACCAGAGAGAGGTAAATGTCAAATTTCATATAGCTTATGTTAATCTATATATATTATTATAGCAAAAAAAATCTATATATTTGTATACCTACATCTACTAGTTAGTTCAATATCACATAGAATCAATTGAACTCCATTGAGTCATCATGGGACGATCTCAAGAACAGGGACAGGGCCAGGGTCCGGTATACAACATCCGGTTATCGACAGTGGGAGCAACTCGACCGAGTAAGACTGGTGCGACCCGCGAACCAACCGGCTTAGACCTAGCCATGAAGCTCCACTACCTCAAGGCGGCTTACATTTACTCGTCCGAGACGGCACGTGACTTGACCGTGAAACACGTGAAAGAGGCTATGTTCATGCTGTTCGACCAGATCGCCTGGACCACCGGAAGGTTCTGGCGGAGAGACTCGGGCCGTCCGTACATCAAGTGCAACGACAGTGGCACGCGTTTCGTGGAAGGTCAATGCAATCTCACGGTGGAAGAGTGGCTCAGTAAACCGGACCGGTCAATTGATGAGGTTCTGGTTTACCATCAGCCCATTGGACCGGAGTTGTCTTTCTCCCCTTTGATCTATGTTCAGGTAATTTACTTTTAACAATTTTCTCTTGTTGAGTTTGTCATATTCATTTACTACTACTCACATACACACACACACACACACACACACAAATAGCATTATTGTTCTCTCTTTATTTAATCGTGTATTATCGACCAAAATATTTGTGACTATACTCAAAGTTCTACACTAATGGTATTATAAATTTATAATTATTCAGTCTATTATACTTTTCTAGTTGACAATAAATTACATTATTTTTTATGTTTTCTTAAAGTATTAATCTTATGAAGTATGATATTGCATGGCGAATAATAAAGGTTAACAATTTTGGAGCAGATCATCGCCACTATTTAGGGTTTTTCTTTCTTCTTAAATATTAATCATGTGAATAGGTAGATACAATAAACAAGTATTTTATAGTCCCCATTATTTTATTTTTTTTTTGAGCAACGGTTTATATAATCCCAAATTTGATACATGTATTAAGAAAGAAGTATTGGAAGTAGTATCTTCTCTTCTATCTAAATACCATATATAGTGTCATTTAAAATTTAATTAAAAAGTATAAAAAAGGAAAACAGTATATATTAAGCAGAAGAAACAAAAAAAAGAGACAAACCATGCTGATTGGGTCTCATCTATACATAAAAGCAATTATTAGGTGAAATGGATATATTTCTGTTTTTGGGTTTCATTTTTCTTTCTGACAATATGCCTAATCGAGAAAGGCAGATGAAATATAGAAACATTAAATGTATATGACTTGTCGTAAGGAAAATTTAAATACACGAAAGATCTGACCGTACCATTAACTTGCATGAAAAGACACTGCCTCGTTAAAACGACGGAGTAGTTGCCGACTTTAATAACAAAAACAAAAATCAGACCATATTTTGCGAATTTATGGTGTGTCGAATCTAAACCGTTTTAAACTGATTTTTATCCACTGTTAAAAAAATCGACCATCTAGTGTCTGTTGTTTAGATGCTTAGACGAATAGACGATCGATTGTTTAGGCGTTTAGTCATCTGTTTAAACAGCTCAGATGCTAATAATTGTCATTAATATTAGAATGGTTCTTCTTTGACTACTCGAACTGAAACCAAATGGATGTCTGAAATTTCTGAAATACAATTATAAATCTAAACATATTATGTTTAACTAGATTTGAGATAACTGAAATACTCAAAATTACAGTTATAGATCTGAAGATATTAGTTATGTTTAAACTAAAATAACCGAATAATTGAAATATCCAATTGCTCTTAGTTTGCTTAAACGAACCATTTTATCAAAAATTGAATCAAATTTTAGTTTCTATTAACGTATTTTGAAAAGTGTGGAAAAAAATTTGGGTAGTTCGGGTGTGTGCTTTTGGGTTGTTCGGATAATTTGATTTTATGTTAGAACCGATCTAGTTTCGAGACCTATCTAAACTAAAGTGAACTGAGTTTTTTAGTTCTTATATTGGTCCTAACCTCCCTACTTAAGTTGCTCAAAACCCAAAAGAACCAACCCGTATTTAGACCTGAATGTCTAGGTCTAATGAGCTGCATCAAATTGAACGAGTTAACACATTTTGACATCTCTAATAGGTGTTAACTCTTCTTCAAACCAAAGATTAATAGTGCCAACCAAAATTTTGAACATTGCGTGTATCAGATCAAATCGAAAAACAACAAAAAATAACCAGCTTATTGTTTTCGCAGATGACCCGGTTTAAGTGCGGAGGATTAGCTTTGGGCCTAAACTGGGCACATATCATGGGAGATTCATTCTCTTTGCTCTATGCTTTCAACTTCTGGGCTAAAGCCATGTCAGGGGAGAAGATCTACACTCTAGAAACCTCTGACGGAATCAGAAGGTTTCGTAGCCCAAACCTTACGGTTAAGGCCCCGGTTTCAATCAAACGGGTCGACCCGGTTGGAGATCTCTGGATCACTCCAAACAACAAGAAAATGGCAAAATTCTCTTTCAATCTCTCAGTCGCCGACCAGGTATCACCACATTTTCCGGCGTACGGAGACGATCAAACTCAGGTGTTCGAGATTCTCGCCGGAATCATATGGAAATGCATAGCTAAGGTTAGGGAAGAGCCAGAGCCATTGATTGTTACGATCATCAGAAAGGATCCGAACATGCTGAAACCTAAAGGGATTCGAAATAGTCAGGTGATAAGCTCCGTCCACGTGGATTTTCCGGTGGGTGAAGCGACGGTGGAGGAGTTGGTAAAGCGTATCGCGGAAGCGACGGACGAGAGATGTGGAATCGACGAGATCGGGGAGAGTTGTGATGGGAATTTGGATTTTGTTGTTTACGGAGCGAAATTGACGTTCGTGGATCTGAGCGAATTGGGATTTTATGAGGCGAGAGTGATGGGGAAGTCGCCGGAATCGGTGTACTATAATGTTGAAGGGGTAGGGGAGGAGGGGTTGGTGGTTGTTTTTCCGGCGAAGAATTCGGAGGAGAGGGTTGTGACGATGACGTTGCCGGAGGAGGAGATGGAGAGTGTAAAATTGGAATTTAAGAACTGTGGTTTGATCGCGCCGTGAGAATCAACGGTTAATAAGTAGTAAAACGTCTAGAGATGAAAGATGAATTGTGTTCTTTTTTTTATGTGTGTTTTTGGAAATATGATTTAGCTTTGTGTGCTGCTGAAGTATCAGTTAAAGCTATTGTATAATCCGGATATTCGGTGCTAAATCCAAAAAACAAAAATCAGTTAAGTGACGATTGTGAATTGTAACGTTGTTGTAAAGTTAAATAATTCAATTAACTAAAGTATTTTGGCTTTAGCTGGTGTCTTTTATGGTAAAGATTGTACTGCTTCGCTCTGTTTTTTTGGGGGATCAAACAAATAATTGTGGTAAAAGGACGAAAAGAAGGTAATTGGGGTATTATAAAAACATTACCCAAAGTGTTCTATAAAGAAACATTCCATAAAATTTGGATAACTTAAATCATTTCCAAACTTTTAATAATTTAGGTAAATGTTAACTTTTTTTTTTTGCGACCCAATTATTACAATCATATTTGGCCCATCATAAAAATGGTTTGCTGACTATTTTTGACCGGCTCGGTATGATTGATTTGGGAAAAAAATAATTTTTTTTTGCTCGAGCTCCTTTTACAAGACTATTCACTCAAACATTTAGACTTTCTCGGAATATGGGATAAGGTGAAGTTTGATAAGCTCTTGCGAAGGATACAGAAGAATTCTACCTTTATCATGAAAGATTACCAATCTATTAGAGATTCAGACATGCTTACAAGATCCGAACAATCGATCTGAAAATGAACCGAAATCATCTGCTTGTCCGAACAAAGTTAAATGTTAACTTTTGTGATGAACATTTCGGGTTATTTCAGAAATATTTTTGAGAAATTTAGAAAATTTAAAGTAGTTATTAAGTATTATTCATTAATTTTTAAATTTTTAATTATAAACAAATACAGTTGAAACTCTATAAATTAATAAATTTTTTTGGTCTTAAATTTAAATTTTTTGTTAAATTAATTTTTTTTTTATAAATTAATAACTCGTTAAATTAATAAATTTTGAAAGTTTAAATATTATTAATTTATAAAGTTTTTACTGTAATTCGGATACTTATTTTGATTTCCATTGTATTTTAGAATTAATAAATAGTTCCGAACGTAAAATTAGTTAAACGAATGTACCATCACCATGGCACGATTACCAAACCATTATTTTCCTATCTGTGTCATGAATCGGAACCTCTGTTTTATTTCTGTCATACTAACACACTCACTTGAGTTTCAAATGTTGTTGCCACAACTCCAATTCGGGTCTTTGAATTGTAAACTAACACTTGAAAGTTGAAACCACTAGCAAAAGGAACTTATTTTTAGTAATTAGGCCTTTTAATGTGCTTGCTAATTAGCATATTAGCATAAGCACACCAAAAGAGTATATACAAAGTTGCAGGTTTATATGCTATGCTTTCTTTCTTTTTTTGGTTGAATTATATGCTATGCTTTATATACATAAGCGAGATTTGGTGTTCTCTGGGTTAAGAAGAAGAATCATCATCAGACATGTGATGATGTTGACGGCGCATTCTAGCAGCCCAGGACATTGAGTTACTATTTTCTTTTTGATTGCTTCTTCTCTTTAATCCTGAGAGCTGAGTTTGCCATTTTTTCTTCCACTCACTCTTCTCTTCCACCACTTCCTGAACAATCAATCACCAAAAACTCAAATCAATTCTGTACTTGTATAAATGGTTTGGTTCAAAAGATTTAGAATCTAAACAAATAATTGAATTCTAAAGATCATCACTGTGAGTCATGTAGGGTCAAATAGATGAAGCAAGTTGGAAAAGAGTCTCAATTGTTGTAAATGTCAACATTCTTTATTCCACTACTTTCTAACCAATCCCATTGTAAACAAAAATGGATAAATTAACACAAATAAGCTTTTTATTCCAAATCTAGCACACTAAAACTCAAAACTAATACCACAGATTAAAGATTATAATACCAAAATAAATTATAAATAATTTCTTTTCCTAGGTTTAAGATGTTCTTTATTAGAATGAAGTTTTAAATTATTTTAGTATTGATATGTTATTATTAAAAGTTAAATTAATTATGCTATGTTTCTTGTATTATTTTAGAGAATTGCCTAGTTTTTTATAATAACTCAAATGGGTCAATTTTTTTGGACCAATACACAAAGGGTCCATTCTGACGACAAGGATGCACACAATGATCTCGAATCATTCAGTAAAATAAAATAAAAATTCTTTTTAAGGTCCAGAAAAATATAAAAATGTTTTGTGGATAATACTGAACAGTAGCATTTGTCCACATATGAAACAGAAATATCCTAATCAATAGTATCAACATCGATGTGATAAATTTTCGAGTGTGAAATAATTAAATTCTATTGTCTAACTTTTAAATTTCCTAAACCATACAGCTAAACAGTGGAGCTGATTTTTCTTTTTTTCTTCAAATTTTTTGGTTCATCACGAAAATTAGCAAAATTAATAAAATTTTCGAAAATAAAATTTTGAATACCTCATCGAATCGATTCCGGCGTCTACCGGAGAACGAAAACGAGAATCCCATAGACAAATCACGGTCGTAGAGAACTCTCCGGCGAGGATCTGAGAGAGTCTCGTAAGCTTCTTGAACCCGAATAAACCGATCTGTGTATTCCTCGACCCGATCCGGCGGCGAAACATCGGGGTGATATTTTCGAGCTAGCTGTTTATACGCTTGTTTGATTTCCGGGAGAGTGACTGATTCGGTGACGCCGAGAAGATCGTAGAAGCTTAAATCCTCCGATTGTTTTACCGGGTCGTCGTGGATGAGCCGGGCTTGGATCCGGGTTGATAAGAATCGGTTTCGGGTCGGGTAAGAGAGAGTCGTGGAGGGAAACGAAGTGGGTAAAGAGGAGATTGGTCGTATATAAAAATCGGTAGCGAGAATTGATGATCCTTTGTATGATTTCATTGTGTCGATTTTAAGGTTTTAGATTTGGTGTTCTTAGGAATTTGAGACTTATATAGAAAATAGTAAGAAACAAGGAGATGAAGATGGGTAGATGGAAGATGTGGTTTTTAAGGGTATTTATGCAATTTTTATGCAATAAAAATTAGTCGTCGTTTTGTGACAAAAAAAATCTTTTTGATAATTTTACTAAAATGTTGTTTTTTTTTTCTTTTCCTTGACAGTTTTATTTATCTGCTGTACTTAGGAAGTAGTTCCTAAGATGGCAAGAAGAAGGAAAAATAAAATAGTTTCCTAAGATGGCAAAAAGAATCGAATCTAAACTAGAACAATGCCTACAATTTCTTTTGGTATAAAATGTAATTTTGTACAAATTTGGATTATGGAACCAAGCTAAAATAACCATAAAACTAAAAAAAAACTTGAAGTTGTTGTGAAAACTTAGAAACTTTATTAATCACTGGAATGTATATATAGAGTACATAAGGAATCTATGTTAAGTACAATGCCCTGATGGGCCTAATGGGCCGGTATAAGAGTCCATATATGATATGTGTTATAACACTCCCCCTTGGACGAGTGAACCGGGTCAGCTACTCAATCGGAATCTCGATAATGCGCTGGGGAATGTTGCCTCATTAAAACCTTACCAGGAAAAACCCAGTGGGACAAAACCATGGTGAAGGAAAAAGAGTACATGGTGAGGTTGAGAAGAACTTCGGTAGAATGTGCTTCGTCCGATCTCCTTTGATATATCCTTCCTTGAGCTGAGCTATGCATGTCGCGTTGTCTTCATACATCACCGTGGGCTGTGTGTCTTCGTCCATACCACAATCTCTGCGGATGTGCTGAGTCATGGAGCGCAGCCAGACGCATTCCCTACTAGCCTCATGAATGGCTAGGATTTCAGCATGGTTTGATGAAGTGGCAGTGAGTGTCTGCTTCATTGATCTCCAAGAGATGGCTGTTCCTCCATGCGTAAAAACGTAGCCAGTTTGAGACTTGGCAGTGTGCGGATCTGATAGATATCCTGCATCGGCGAAGCCGACTAACCCATCTTTATTTTTGTTAGTATAGAAGAGTCCTAAGTCTTGAGTACCTCGAAGGTATCTTAGGAGATGTTTTATACCGTTCCAGTGCCTCTGAGTTGGGGATGAACTATATCGAGCGAGGAGGTTCACGGCGAAACATATGTCTGGTCTAGTGTGACTAGCCAGGTACATTAACGCTCCTACAGCACTGAGGCATGGCTTTTCAGGACCAAGGATTTCTTCATCATCCTTTTTGGGACCAAGAGGGTCATCACTTAAGCTTCTAACTACCATTGGGCTGGTCAATGGGTGAGCTTGGTCCATATTAAATCGCTTGAGTACCTTTTCGATATAAGCCGATTGATGCACAAGGATTCCTCCTTTGATGTACTCAAGTTGTAATCCCAAACAGTACTTTGTTTTGCCTAGGTCTTTCATTTCGAATTCTGCTTTTAAGCAGTCGACTGTTTGGGAGATCTCACCAGATGTTCCGAGGATGTTTAGATCATCCACGTATACTGCTATGATTACAAATCCTTTGTTTGAGTACTTCTTGATGAAGATGCATGGACTGATGGGGTCATTTTTGTAGCCTTCTTTGATGAGGTAATCGCTGAGGCGGTTGTACCACATACGCCCACTTTGTTTCAGTCCATACAAGGATTTGTTCAGCCTGATGCAGTATTGATCTCGAGATGCATTTTTGTCTTTTAGTTCAATGCCATCTGGGAGTCTCATATATATTTCGTTGTCCAGGGGCCCATAGAGATATGCGGTTACAACATCCATTAACCGCAGATCAAGATTTTCTCTTATGGCCAGACTTATGAGGAATCAGAATGTTGTTGCATCCACCACTGGAGAATAAGTCTCCTCATAATCGATTCCGGGTCTCTGTGAGAATCCTTGTGCTACAAGCCGTGCTTTGTATCGAACGACTTCACCGAGTTCGTTCCTTTTGCGCACAAAGACCCATTTGTGGCCCACTGGCTTGATGTGTGATGGGGTCCGGATGATCGGACCGAACACGTTTCTGAGTTTGAGACTCTTTAACTCCACGTTTATGGCTTCTTTCCATTTTAGCCAATCTGTTCGATGTGTACACTGTGTTATTGACGTGGGTTCTAGATCCTCTTGCGTGAGCGCAACATCAAGTGCTACTTTGTATGCAAAGAGTGCATTTAAGTCGACTTCTTTTCGATTCCATTGTATTTCGGACATATTGTAATTGATGGAGATCTCATTGTTATCTTCTGAACCTGGAGATTCGGCGTCCCGAACTTCCATTGAGGGTTCATTAGATTGAGTCTCAGCCGCGGCTATGTCTGATATTGCAGGAATCCCGGTTTCGGTTATTGCACCTTTCTTTGATTTCCGGGGATTCTTATCTTTGGAACCGAGAGGTCTGCCCCGTTTGAAACGTGGTGCAGACTCTGTAGCAACTTGGGTCTGTCCCGTTGGGACAGCTATTCGTACTGGTGCATTACAAGCTGGGATGTACGATTTGGTTACTTTGGTCGGGTCAGCAAAGGAATCTGGCAATTGATTAGCTAGCTAATGAATAATCTTTTGGATCTCTGAATCACATTCTAGAGTCCGAGGATCTTGCCAATTTAATGATGTTTGATTCCATGAAAGATCTTTGACCAGCTTGTTTGTTTCACCACCTAAAGAGGGATATACCGATTCATCGAATTGGCAATCCGCATATCTGGCCTTGAAGAGATCTCCAGTGGTTGGCTCGAGATATCTTATGATGGTGGGAGAGTCAAAACCAACATATATTCCCATCCTTCTTTGAGGTCCCATTTTGGTTCGATGTGGTGGAGCAATGGGTACATATACTGAACACCCAAATGTTTTGAGATGGGAGATGTCTGGCTCATGACCCGAGAGTAGTTGGTATGGGGAATATTTGTGTTCACTAGATGGCCGGATGCGTATGAGTTCAGCAGCATGTAATACTGCATGTCCCCATGCTGAGGCCGGGAGCTTTGATCTCATGAGTAATGGTCGGGCTATCCATTGAATGCGTTTAATGAATGATTCAGCCAATCCATTTTGAGTATGGACATGTGCTACAGGATGTTCCACGGTTACCCCCATGGCCATACAGTAGTCATTAAACGCTTGTGAGGTAAATTTACCAGCATTGTCAAGGCGGATAGTCTTTAGTGGGAAGTCAGGGAAATGGGCCCGCAATTTGATGATTTGGGCCAAGAACCTAGCGAAGGCTTGGTTCCGAGAGGACAAGAGACAAACATATGACCAACGGGTCGATGCGTCTATAAGGACCATGAAGTACCGGAATGGTCCGGAAGATGGATGTATAGGTCCACAGATATCGCCCTGGATTCTTTCTAGGAAATGAAGTGTTTGTTTAGAGATTTTAACTGGTGAAGGCCGAGTGATCAATTTGCCTTGAGAACAAGCTGTGCACATGAGGTGTTGAGGATAAACTCGGTTTTCTTTGAGGGTATGCCCTTGAGAGTTTTGAATTAGTTTACGCATCATATTTGCACCGGGATGACCGAGCCGATCGTGCCAAATAGTATAATCAGTAAACCGGGCTTTGAGAGTGGTATTAGCTTCAATCATGCTGATGATGAAACTTTCTATTTTGAGAATATTTCTATTTTAGGAAAGTTTCTAAATTTGGAAAGTTTCTAATTTGGGTAATTTTCTAAATGAGGAAAATTTCTATGTCGGGAAAATTTCTATATGAGGAAAGTTTTTATATGAGGAAACTTTCTATTAGAGGGAACTTTCTCGGAAATAGTAAATTTTAAAGGGTATGGTTTTAGTTACCCCGAACATGATGTCGGTTTAATAGCTGTGATTTAATCGGTTAAAGCCGAATATAATTTCGGTTAATGAGAACCAGGTTTAGCCGGTTTTAGGCGGTTTAGGAGGAACCCTAGGGGAGCCGAATATGATTAGGGTTTTATCTAGGGTTTTAACGGTTTGGAAAACATATTTTGGATGTGATTTCGAGATCTATAGGATCTGTGGTCGATGGTTTTAATAATTTCACAAGGACAACAAAGAAATCACGTGAAAAGGACTAGGGTTTAAGCATTATGACTTACGATTTTGAAGATTACAAAATCGTGAATCAAGCTTAGGATTTAGGGTTGATTTTCTTAGTTTATTCAATCAAGTGTTTCAAGCAAGAGAATCAACAATCAAATAAGCTGCAACAAGCTTATTAAACATAGAGAAAATCGAATAGGTTTATGCCATAAACATGGCCAAAAACGGTTGTTAGGTTTTTGTAAATTAGGGTTTTATAAAACGAGTTTAAAACCTTTGAACATGCATAAACTTGTAATTTAAACAATCAATCAACAAGTTATCAATCAATCATCAGAGTATCAAACACTTTCAATCAATTAGAGATCGATTTTTTTTTTTTTTTTTTTATAGGGTTTTGAAGTGTTTAAACAACAGGTTCTATGGCTTTCAGTTTTAGAAGATACCTTTTCCACCTTTGGATTTCTGACAGGCTAATGAAACTGGGAGCTAATAGACCTCAGTTAGCCGCTACAAATTCCAAGGATTGATCACCAAAACTGGAGAAGCTGCTGGTTGAAGAAGGAAAAACTCGGATCTGGTTTTTTTTTTTTTTTCGGTTGATCGTCGTGTACTGTAAGTGTGCGTGAGGGCGCGTCCGACGTTGGATCGACAAACGGTTTTCACCAGTAGATTCGTCTCGTCGAGGGCTTCGATTTGATATGTAGATCGTCTTCTGGTTCCTCACGGTTTGGAAGATATGCGTCTTTTAAGTTTCGACTTGCTTTTAGGGTTTTGGTGGTGGCCGGATTTATTAGGGTTTTTCGCTCAGAGAGTCTTATCGTGCTGATAACGTGTTGTGAAAACTTAGAAACTTTATTAATCACTGGAATGTATATATAGAGTACATAAGGAATCTAGGTTAAGTACAATGCCCTGATGGGCCTAATGGGCCGGTATAAGAGTCCATATATGATATGTGTTATAATAGAAGTGAAATCAAAATAATAGGATTGTTTTTTTCCTAATCTTAATACCTTTTAATAAAAAAACTCAAAAGTTTTAACAATCTTA